TTGCTCTCTATAGATTTTAAACTAAAATGCTTGACATAATTTAAATAAAAAAAAACTTTTAAGGTTTTAATAAAAATAAAAATCATTACTGTACGTCCCTTCTTATGCCATGATATGAATTAAAGAAACACGCAGCTTAATTACGCGTATTTACAGGTGTGAACAAGTATAACTTGAATAGTTGAAAATTTTAATCTTTATAATTTTATTCACTTCAGGGACGTAGTATCAGGGGGGGGGGCCGGGGGGGGGGGGGCCCCCCCCCCCCCACTTTTTTCCCCAACATAACCTTTACTATAGTAAATGTTCATTGATGTGATGGTTGGCCCCCCCACTTTATAACCATAGTATAGTGATAGCAAGGATTGTAAGGAAAAAATTTGAAGTGATAGTAAGTTGGCTTTGAAAAAGTTGGCCACTACCCTTGATATACACGCTTGCAAATATGAGCTAATCCACAGTGACTGTAAAATATAAAAACTTGGAAATATTTTCTTATATCGGAGCTAAAGAAATCAGAAGCGGCACACATACAGAAACGGATTCACCTACATGTATATGTAACCATGGTCGGTGCTGCGAAATCTTTTTCTCATTTTCTTCATGATAATCAATAATTTTTTGAAGATGAACAATTTCAAAACATAAACTTTTTGTCTTTTTTTAAATCGAAGTCCATAGGTCATAAGATCCACTTGTAGTACTCCTGATTGGGTTTTTACTACTATTCAGTCCCTCCCCGGAGATCATATGTTCAGCCCTCAATAACACGAAAGGGAAGCATCCTAAATTTTATTTGTGCTTCTATGGGGGAAAAGACAATACTAGTAATCTCGACTGATAATACTTTGCAAATAATGATAATTTTTTTAATTGCTAACAAAGATAAATTTCAATTCTTCTTTTGAAATATAGTATGATATATTTATGAAGTCATAATCATATTTATCGCTTAGGCCAGGTAAAATTAATCTTTAGATTCTCATCCTAATTTGCTAAAAAATGGGGGCGGTTGGGCGGATTTTATTTTTTATAATTGTTAAAAATTTATACGTATCAGCAAAACATGGACGCCTCGTACACATTTTTTTTTTCATTATGTTAATGCAAATATGAGTAGATTTAATTCTTTTCATATTCTTTTGAATATTTAAAGAAAATTCTTGCTTTAAAAATTAAATATTTATTGTTAATTAACAAATTATTAAGAATAATTATACGGTAAACCCTGGACACAATGAGGTGGGGATACCAATAAATTGTGTATGCATGACATCTTATTTTGCAAAATCTATATAAATGTTCTAATAATTATCTACTAAAGAATCTAGGCCTTCTTTAAAGTCTGTCTTCGATGTTGTTGGTTTTCTTTTTTCAAAGCAAAATCACACACAGCTGGAGATCGTTATATATAACTTGACCAGGCATCATTTTCCTCGTCTATTTTTCTTAACTTAGTTACAACCTCTCTAAATGCTTGCTCATGCCAGTGATGGTATCTAGATGTGTTTATGCTATTTTTTCTTCTATGCCTTCTCTATACTGACAAATCATCTTTTCCTTACATATTTAAACTGCTTTTATTGTCGATTTTTCTCCATTCTTCACATGGCTCTTTTGCTATAAATAGCGACACGCGACTTTTAATACAGACGGGAGATAAGTCTTAAACTTTAACCCAAATTCTTGCTGAATAAAAATACGTGAAAATACCTTTATTAACACCCAAAATTCAAAATAAAAAACATCGGGACAGGACCTTTTGAGAGGGGCGGGCGGGGATGAGAATCTAAAGAATAGATTAATTTTATATGGCCTTATATTCATTTTAATTTTTATTTTTTATATACATTGCAGTTCTCAAAGTGAATCTATATAGTTATTAAATAAGAAAAAGAGTTCAATATAGTTGTTTTATTCATTATCTTTATAACTTGTCAAGTCCTTGAATAGACCATTACCTATTGTGACGTTTTTGACGTCATCAATGCGAGTTTGACGTCGTCAACGTATTACAACTGTAGCCTACTTCAGTATAATTATGCCCACGGACAAGATACAATTTTTATAATTTGAAGCAAATAAATGCCGAAGAATAGATATACGTTATTAATGAACTTAAATCTTGAATAGATAAAAACTTGATATATCAAATACTTTCGATGGGTCATATATGACCCCTGTGGCAGCCAGTGGGTAGAGCCCATATATGATCCCTCTGGCAGTAAGAGGGTTAATATTGTTCCGTGATAAGAGGTTGGATTTAAGTATAATATCATGTGTTAACGAGACATTGACCTAGGAAATAGTTAAAGAATATCTTTCTGGAAATTCATACGAAGATCCCATTAAATCGTGCTTTTGATTTTAATAAAGTAGCTTGGCTTTGATACAGTTCACATAAAGTTCGCAACATTATTCCATTTTGTGAGTAAATTTTAATTTTCAAGTATTGTTTTTTTTACCGATACATATTTTAACTTTTAGACGTAACGTCAGGAATTGCTACTAATAGGAAATAATACGTTTATTTCGTTTTCAGCTTACATTTGCAGTACAGTTTTAGAAATAAACATGTAGTGTTTTATATGAAAATAAAGGATTTTTTCTCACCAATAATGTTGTAACAAAAAGAAGTATTATTACAAGGCATGTACACATTGACAGACTACTATATTTCGGAATGACGTCAAATTTCGTCTTGTCCCGTTGTAACAGAAAATACTTTCAACAGAGTTTATTCTAAAAAAAAAAATAAAAAATCTTCTTGCATATGTTTGACTTTTTACAGGATCGTTCTCTTACATCATATTTAGTCATAATATCTTTTTTGACAACCTCTGATAAGAGAATAGATACCCGCATCCTTTCCCATGTCCCATTCATTGAAAATTTAGTTTAACGCATTTTCCATGGTGAAAAAAGAAAATTTTGTCGGTAAAATTTACAAATTTGAATTCACATACAATGAGTACTTTTAAACAACAACTTATTCCAAAAAGATAATGAAAATTTTCCAGGCGCTTATGTATTAAATCATACATAATCCGTGTCTTGCAAATATGTCCCGCTGCGCAAATGACGCCATGTCAAACATATATTAGTTAATAGCTCATTGATTTATTCCGAATTCAAGAGACAATATTTACTAAAATTTATATCAGTGGAAAGTACTGAAAAATTACTTTAAATACATATAGGTTTCATCAGATCCTACCGGTTAATAAGAAAATTACTAAAGAATCGAAATGTCTCGCAGAAATGTCCCCAACTGCTTAAAATGACGTCTAACGTTCTAAGAATGCACGGTTTGGGACATACGTCAATGTGCATTTCTTATTAATTTATTTACGCATTTCTGTACCCTTCATACTTAACATGTTAATATTTGGTTATCACCTCTCTGTATCCTTAAATTGCTTTTTCTGTTTTTTTTTTAATGTTCACCATAAAACGATTATCGCATATATAAAAATGTACTTATAATTTGAAATCCATGCAATTGCAGAATATTCTTTTCATATGCAAGAGAGAAATCAATGATAGAAAATCAAAAAATACAGCGTAATTTGTCTTGATGATCTGCTTTATTGAAAAAAGTATAATATTATTTACCCAAGATTCTGTCAACAAATTACTATTAATAATTACTTTAATTGGATAAAATGAAAATCTTTAAGAAATATATCTAAACACTGCGCGTAAACAATTTATATTGACGTCGTTTTGACGTTACAACGTTGAGTAGCAATACCTGACGTTGCATCTTAGTCAAGTTCTGCGTCTTGTTCCATGCCATATGGATATATGTTAAATCCATAATGTAACCGAAAAATTATAATCTTGATTTTTATATATAAATTTGATACATGTAAAATACACATTGGATAAACCAAATATTTACCGATTGTGATAAACATGCATTTTTTTTTCTTAAAATTTTCAACACAGGAGTAGCATACATACACTACCGAAGTCTGGAAGTACCATCCAAACAATATCTAAGTACGGAAGTACCATATGCACAATATTTTACTTTTTTTTTTTACAATTTCAAGAGTTTTATTTGTTAAATTATTCTTGACTAAGAAACGAATTATTTTGGCATGATAAAAACTTACAAATGACACAATTTATTAGTACTGTACTAAAAGTCATAATATGGAATGTATCAATTGCTGTATATTGAACTGTTTTGTTGTTGTCATCACCTCTTCCTACATGTAAAAGAGAAAAAAAAATCGCAGAAGTGAGGTTAGGCATTGTGGACAGCGGAATTGTCAGCAAAATGCATGATATGACAGATTCATCAAAAATTGCGAAATATTTCCGAGAAACAAACGATTATCTAGTAAAAAGAAAATCTAGAGAACATTCCTCAGTACTTCATATCTGAAATCTGTCCTTTTCATTTGGTATATCCATGAAGTATTGTTTAATACTTTTTCACGTATATTTTAAAACTGCATAACCTTAATCCTTCATAGTGTTATCCCCCTCTGTTCACAATCCAAATTTTAACCAAGTTGGATAATAACATATGAAATAAAACTGTTTATCTATTGAAGCTAATTTTCCAATACTACACTGTAAATAAGACAATATTCCAATATGTATAGATTATCAACCCCCTTAAAAGAGTCCGTGGTTTAACTACCAAAATTATATATCCTTTACTCATACACTGAGTTTTTTTTTTCAAATATAATATGATTTTAATGGGACTTGATTACTTAGAAAAGACGAAAATAACTTGAAAAGTTATTGACAATTGACAAAAGAAGAGAGACAAACGGCGGACAAGTTTAAACCTCACTTGACCGTTAATGTAAAAGCTGCTTCATAGAAAGATTGACATCTGCATCAGTGGATGTAGTCTGACTTTTGCAGCTTTGATTGTGTTTAAAAGTCCATGTCGATCGTTCTGCTCATACAAGCAGTTAAACACCACAAATACAAGACACAAACTAGCGCTCTGAAATTTACATTTATTTCCAATGTGTTTTGCATTCGAGCTTAGTTTTAGAATCAATGATTTTTATCATCTGTTTTTTTTTCAGTCTAAAATGGCAGTGCATGTACAAAATACTGCAAACCAACTATTTTTCGCATCATCTTTTATTTCGTTGAAAACAATGGGCGACAATTGGAGCGATGAAATGTTAGGGGGTTTAAGTAGGTCGCAAAAGTCTCGGGTATTTCTCGTAAACGAGTTCAAGTTTACAGCATATTTTTTGTCCTCGAATTATCTCAATTGTAATTTAATTATGCTTTCTGTTCCTCTTTGCATTTCAGTCAGTTATTCAACCTTCAAGAGACATTTAGATATACACCTGTGAAGAGAAATAAGTGAAATGTGTTAGAATTTTTAGAAACCATCCATATAACCTTCAAAACTAAACATGATGAATGATAATTCAAATATTTTAAACATTATATGTTTAATTCTTACATAATCCAAGAGAAATTATGTGTTTTGATGTCCATTTATTCTAAAGGGGGGAATTACTAAGTATCAGTTTATTGTGTACATAATTAGTTTTCCTCTTACCGAAATATATCTTTTTAACATTTTAGAAATGTTTTTTTAAAAATCCTTAAAATAAAATCTTTTCTTAAATAAGTATGAAAAATTCAATGTGTTGCTATTGTTCTTGCAAAAGAATATAATGCTTATTAAATACAATTTCAACATTTAAAAAGAGTTGTCAACTAAACTCGTTTAATGTCATTGCTTCAGTAAGTATATACAAAATAATGCGTTGTAATGCTGTGAAATGCCAGAATTATTCTTGATTTGAGTAAGTGATGCATTTTATAAACATGTAATGCAATGTTTTGGCATTACACATAATATATACTAGGAGTAGCTTTACTTCTAGTAATGTGTTGCAATGCATTACTATTAAATTACAATTCCCCAAAGACTGACGCAGAAATAAAGACTTCAAATAAAAACTTATACGTACGAAAGCCCAGAAGGCTCATTCGAGATTCAAGATTCGAAATACGAGATTCGAAATTCGAGATTCAAAATTCGAATTTCGAGATTCAAAATCCAGATTAACCAATCAAAAGCGGGTTCAAGATTTGATTACTCCCCTTTATTATGATTTTACTATCAAGAAATCGTTTAATATATAAATAACAAATAGGCCATTTAATTAAATTACAATGCAAGAAAGAGTGTTATATATATTAGAAAGAAATTTAAATAATCATTGGATTTTTGATCAGCAAGATATACTTCAATTTATATTATGGCTTCAAAAATATTAAATAGAATACATATATCAGGAATATATATATTTTTGTATTGTCTACTTTGTTTACGGGGTTGATTACATATAAACAAAGTTATGAATGCGTGGCAAGTGTCTAAAGATTAACAATAACTCCACCCCTACCCACCCCGCCTGCCTATTTTTCCAAACACACGGAAAGGCTTGAAACATGAAAGACGACGTAGTATTGATAAATAAAAATCGCGTTCGTTTTCCTGATAGAGGAAATACATAAAAATTAAGTATTCAATTACTTATCTTCATCTAAGGCCTTGATTTCTTGAATTAATTTAAAAATTATATCTACAATACAGCTTAGCAATGTGAATTAAAAAAATGCGGCATTTATTTTATCTTATATCAAATAGTAGATGAGTCTAAATTACATGCAGAACTATATAGCGTTATGGTGTTATATTTTAGTCTCTGACCATAGCTTTATGGCCAAAGACTAAAATATACTCTTAATATATTAAACCTTATATAACGCTACAGTTCGATTCAGCAGTCAAGTTTCACTGCACAAGTGACTGTACCCTTTATAAATGTCATGAAATATATACCCTTAAATTATTGTGCAGTGTAGATACGACTCATAATATTCCATTATCTAATTATAATCAATTGCAACATTCTCCATCAGCAATGATCTGATGAAATAAAATTAGATGACCTACTTACTCCGCAAGTCAACGATAAGACCATATAATATTCCATATATACGTATTTACTATTTTGTTAAATTAGAAAAATAAGATGATATATGTATTTTTCAAAATGTAATCCAAATTTTAATTTTATTTCGTTTTAATACATAAAACATTTTTTCTTGCATTATCATTTTAGCAAATGATACATTTGTTATAAATATATTCAACGATTTCTTGATAGTAAAAACGTGACAAAGGGAAGTAATCAAAAGTTGAACCCGCTTTTGATTGGTTAGTTTGGATCTTGAATTTCGAAACTCGAATTTTGAATCTCGAATTTCGAATCTCGTATTTCGAATTTTGAATCTCGAATGAGCCTTCTGGGCTTTCGTATATACGCGGCATTCAGGGCCATTGAGCAATGAAGGATCTTTTTGTCTGACTGTACGCATGTATTTCCTAACATCGTGTACTTTACGGTGCACTACTGTTTTGATCCATTTTAACTTTTTAATGACAAAGAAATATATTTGACTTACCTTTATTGCTTTCCACAAAGTCATAAACATTTCTGTCCTCATTGTTTTTCTCAGTTTTTGTAAGGGTGTTGCTAAAACGCGGAACGGAAAACGGAACGGAAAGCGGAACGGAACGGAAAACGGAATATATTATTTTGGATTAAATCACTTAAAATACATAAAATTTATCATAAACGATATATTTTGTACATATTCAATCCCCCACTATTAAATACAAGTTGATTTTATCATGCTCAGTTTCTTTTTTTACGAAAATCGCTAACATATAGCAGTCACCTAGAATCGAATTTGAAAAGGGGGGATAAACGAACTTGAAAAGTATTTGACAAGCAATAACACAAAAAGAAACAATTGTTTGATTCGGGAGGGGGGATAAAACACAAAAAGAAAACAATTGTTTGATTCGGGAGGGGGGATAGGTTCCAATTCCAACATCTTTCAGTACTATTTTTTTTTTACACTAACTTACTACATTAATTACATTCACAAAAAGTGTGAGGATGTCAACTTAAACGAACATTTCCGTAGTAAAAAGGTTATGACTGGGGGATCAAATATTTGATATCTAAATGAACCATGAAAGAGAAATAAAATGTAAAAAAAAATTATTATGATAATACGTTAAGGGCAAACCTTTACGGCAAGCTTGAAGAAACATCTCTTATTCACACTGGTTGTTAAAATTTTATTCAAAATAGAGACATTTTCTATACATTTAAATTCTGGAAAGACAAAGTTGGAAAACTTTCATGTCATTCAATGAAGTTAAATTTTGTTTGCGGTATATATGTGTGTATGTTTGGGGGGGGGGGGTATATGAATGACCCCGTAAAAAATGAGTTTGTTTTCCCACTCATTGGAAAGGTCTGAAAAGTTGTAATAGGTATGCCCCCCTTTTTGTGTCAAAAATATACATAAAGTTTAATAAATCAATTTTTAATGTGACTGGGGGCCCCTACATAGACCCGAAACTGCCACTCCCCCTTTCATGATTCGCGAATTCGACACTGCGCGTGCATAATCTGAACATCATAAATAGTTATTTTTGTCTTTACAGACATTGACATTGGAAACAAATTGAAAGAAGGGGGGGGGGGTCAGTAAAAATTTTCCAACATACAACAAATTTGACAAACCAAAAAAAAAGGGGGGTATGTCATTTGCCCAAACACGGAAATCCTATTTCGTGTGTGTGTGTGGGGGGGGGGGGGGTCGAATTTCTTACAGTACCATTTTTTCCACGGAAGTTGTGTATGACTCATGAATATATAATAGTTTACAATAAATTTTTATCAGAAATGATTTTTACAACAAGAATATTGCTTTTTTATCTGATTTATATCGAATCTATGTTATTTGTTTGACAAAAATTTTCCGTTTTCCGTTCCGTTCCGTTTTCCGTTCCGCGTTTTAGCAACACCCGTTTTTGTAATGCTGCAGTTAAGCATTGCATTGCATCAGTAAATATTTTTAGATTTAATTTTTTTTTTCTTTAAAAAAGATTGTTAAATACATATTGATTGCATATTTTACCATTTCATATGTTTTCCACTGGAATCCATTTCTAAAGCAAAAGAGAAATGGACGTTATAATTATGGATTTTTTCTTAATATGAGGTTTTATACGAACAGAAAAATGATTCTTGGCATATATATATGATAATGTTTTCAACTA